GGGGGGGACTGGCCCTGTGCCGGGGGAGGCTGGGGGGTGGGGAATACTGGCTGGAAGGAGAGCTGTGCTGGGGGTGGGGTGGGGGAAACACTGGTTGGAGGGGGAAGCTGGCCCTGTGCAGGGGCTCCTGAGGGGAGCTTCCTGGCTCACTGGGACCCAGGGCCCATCTCCGTTCCTGGTCCTGGCCAGCTTGGAGGTGCCCATCTCCTGGCTGTGCACTGGCTCCTCATGGAAGGGGTTGGTGGCTCAGCCCATGGCCAGGTGGTCCCTAATTCCCAGGGCCGGCTCCAGGCACCAGCTTACCAAGCAGGTGCTTGGGGCGGCCACTTCGGAGAGGGGCGGCATGTCCAGCTGTTTGGCTGCAATTCAGCGGACGGTCCCTCACTCCTGCTCGGAGCGAAGAACCTCCCGCTGAATTGCCGCCACAGATCACGATCGCGGCTTTTGTTTGTTTGTTTTGTTTTGCTGCTTGGGGCGGCCAAAACCCTGGAGCCGGCCCTGCTAATAACCATCCTCAATGGTATCCTTGTCCACTGGCTCAGCCTTGCAATTGTCCCCTGCACACCTGCCGTTGGGTCCATGTTCACAGGCCAGGAGGGCCTGGCAAAGCCAGGGACCGAGAGAGCTGCCCGCCCTGATTGGTAAGATGCACGTGCTACAGTAGTTGCTCTGCCTTATGCCTGGGTCTTCCCTTCATTTGGGCAGGTGTCTAAGATGCCAGAGGGCCCAGAGCTGCACCTGGCCAGCTGCTACATCAACACGGTATGTGCAGGGCTCATCTTCTCGGGGAAGGTGGAGAAGTCTGAAGTGAGCAAGAACCCAGAGGTGCTGTTTGAGAGCGACGCGTACCTGATCTCTGCCACCTCACGGGGCAAGGAGATCAAGCTGACCCTGACGCCACTCAAAGAGGAGAAGAACTTGCTCCCTGGCAGAGGGAGGGACAGGGAGGGGCTGAGCCAGAATGGTCTCCAGCAGCCCATGGATCTTGTCTTCCGCTTTGGGATGTCAGGCAGCTTCAAGCTCGCTTCCGGGGCCGAGCTGCCCAAACACGCCCATCTTCGGTTTTACACCAAGGAGAGCCCGCACCGAGCCCTCTGCTTCGTGGATATCAGGCGCTTCGGGAGGTGGGAAGTGCACGGGACGTGGCAGCTGGATCGAGGGCCATGTGTGATGCTGGAGTATGAGAAATTCAGGTGAGATCCAACATGACCTTTCATCTCTGCTTGAGAAACTGACCAGGAGTGTGTGTCGAAGGGGGTGGGGGGAATGAATGATAGACACAATATTCTAACAGTGAATTCTGTGGGGAGCCTGGTGATAGAATATGGGGCCTTTCACCATTACAGGGACACTTGTAGCTCACGTTTATGGAAACTCTGTCTCGGGTTGAAGACTGTCTGGTGCTTTGCATTCCCAGAGATCTCGCTATGAACAAGGGAACAGGCTTGGTTTAAACATCCTCCTGTGTGGCTTTTTCTTATATAACAAGCGAACAGCACAAAAATAATTCTTAAGTATTGCAAAAGCGAAGAGCACAGTTGAGAGATTTAACCCTCACAGCAATGGCTCTCCAATGGCTATGCAGACCACCTTGTTATCTACTCAGTTCAGCATGTTGAGAACCAAGCGGGGGGAGGCTGAATGGTTGGGAATGAGGTAGGTCCATGAGGAGATGTCTGTTATGCAAAGTGAGAGGCTGGAAAAAGCTGGAGATCCCCTGGGCTAGGACCTGTTAACTGACTATGTGACAGACCAAGAGGGCTTTGGTTGAGCTCTTGTATTATTTTGTACAAGTTAATGCTTCACTTTTAATATGTGTCTGTTACAGTCATGAAACAGTGCAAGAGAGCAAGAACCCTGCTGTAGCTACTTTAACACCTGCAAACTACCATGGCAGGCAAGGAGGGGCTTGTAGCTTGGTGGACAAAGGGCCAGGTCCCCAAAGATAATAAGGGTCCTAACTTCTGTTGGAAGAGCCTAAATACCTTAGAGGTTGTGGGCCAAAGTGCCTACTTTGTATTTCACAGGTAGAATTCATAGCTGAAGGGCGTATCACTGACTGACAGAGGTTGGAGATTGAAAGGGGTCATTGGGTTGTCTGATGCACACACGCATGCCTGCCTGTCCAGGTACCATGTGGTATATTCATTAGTGGATTTTCAGGGTTTAGTTTTGAATTTGCTGAACATTGGGATTTCCACCGCTTCCCTTCCAATCTTTTCCCCCCTCATATTCTCAAATTTTCCTTTCCCTAATTGTATCCCATTCAGTCATCAGAGGCTTGGTGAGTTTGTTAGTTGGTTCCCTGAGCACCTTGTCAAAGGCAGATTGCATAAAAGGATTCCAGAGTCTCAGGCATTGAGTCTTTGTTCATTTCATCCCCCTCCTCTTTGATGAATGAGCTACTCCCTCTTCAGTGCATTTCTGCATGGCCACTTATATTTATTTCCCTTTGGCAGCATTCCTTGAACCCTTGTCTCTCCACTGCAAGCCTCACCTGACTCTACATGTTGGTGTTCCCTTATCTCTTTGCTCTTCTATGTCAAGATCTTAGAGCAGGCCTTCATAAAGCCACTCTTCAAAGGCTCCTTCTTGTTCTTTGTATTTGTCAGTTTCGGAGGACTCTTAGACTGCCTTCAATGCCTTAATGGTGATGTCTCTTGCTGTTCCTCCAGCCTTCTTTATGCTGTGGTGGGTCTTTAATGCTTCCTCTTATCACACTCAATTTCTTAATTTGCTTCCCTGCAATCAAATACCTTGATAACTGCTGCATTCCGGGAACCCGTTCCCTACGGGGCTGAATTCAAGTAGCGTACAGCACTGGAACTGCAAGTCCGTGCGCTGCTCCTTCTAAGGAAACAGTGGGTCATCCCTGTACCTTTACCCAAAGGGTTTCGCCGCTACCTTTATCGTTACCTGTTTTATTGTAATGCCTCTTGATGTCTAATGCTGCCCCCTCCTCTCTCCTGCACGGACTGTCTGCATCTACATGTCTTGCTATAAGAACCATCCCCCAAGGTTTCACTTGTGCCCGCTAGACCATAACCTCCATCATTTTTAGTTTCACTTCTCCCTGCTTGTGTCTGGAGGCAGACCCTTCTGCAGCAGAAAACCCCACTGGAGAACAACCCCACCTCCCATGTTGGTTACCGTGTTGGAAGCACATCACTGGCTGAGTGAGGTGGTCGTTTCCCCAGCCCCTCCTCCCTAGCTGACCGGCCCTGCTGTCTTCCAGGGAGAACGTGCTGAGGAACCTGTCTGACAAGGCTTTCAACAAGCCCATCTGCGAAGCCCTGTTAAATCAGAAGTTTTTCAATGGGATTGGCAACTACCTCCGAGCCGAGATTCTCTACAGGTGAGCAGGGCGAAGAGAGGAGGAGGCCTGGCCCGATGGAGATGTGGGTCCAATATCCTATTCCACCCCAGGTTCAAGCCAGGCCTTGTTTACGCAGGGACGCTGAGGAAAGTTCAGATGAAATAACTAAAGCTGTGAAGTTAATGTGCGGG